TCTATCTATCTATCTATCTATCTATCTATCTATCTATCTATCTATCTACCTATCTAGCTATCTATCTGTCTATCTATTTATCTACTGGTATGCATATCATCTGTCATCTTTCATCTTCCATATAAGACATTTTATTTGCCAGGCCATTGTTCTAAAATTGAGCAGCATCCCATCAAAAGAAACATAGTTTCTTTGCTTGCTTTTTCTCTTTTATCTTTGTATATATACTTCTCTAACATAATAAATTCCTACCAGGGTGTAGATGTGTATCTGACTTTTAATTGAATTCTTTGGCATTTTGATGTCGAGTTTCTTGAGTTCTTTATATATTTTAGGGATCAACCCTCTGTCAGATGTGGGGTTGGTGCTCCGTAGGTTGCTGTATTATCTTATTGGCATTGTTCTTTGACTTACAGAAGCTTTTCAGTTTCAGGAGGTCCAATTGATTAATTGTTTCTCACAGTGTCTGTGCTACTGGTGTATTTAGGAAGTAATCTCCTGTGCCAGTACATTCAAAGTTACTTCTCACTTCCTCTTGTATCAGGTTCAGTATAACTGGATTTATGATGAGGTGAGGTCTTTGACTCATTTGTACTTGACTTTTGAACACAGGGATAGAAATGGATCCCTTTGCATTCTTCTACAAGTCTACAGCCAATTATGCCAGTGTCATTTGTTAATTCGCATTCTTCTGCATGCTCACATGCAGTTATGTCAGCACCATTTGTTAAAGAGGTTTTCTATATTCCATTGTAAAATTTTGGATTCTTTGTCAAAAATCAGGTGTTCATAGGTGTGTGGAATAATGTCATAGGCTTTGATTTGATTCAGTTGGTAGATTTGTCTGTTTCTATGCCAATGCCAAGATGTTTTTATTACTGTAACTCTGTAGTAGAGCTTGAAATCAGTGAATGCGATACATCTGGAAGTTACTTTATTGTAGAGTATTGTTTTGGTTATCCTGTGATTTTTGTTTTCCCATATGAATTTGAGGTCTGTGAAGAATTGTGGTGTGATATTGATGAGGAATGCATTGAATCTGTAGATTGCTTTTGGTAAGATTAATATTTTTAGTATGTTGATCCTACCTATCAAAGATCATGAAAGAGCTTTCCATTTCTGATATCTTCTTAAATTTCTCTCTTCAAAGGCTTAAAGTTCTTGTCATCCAGGTCTCCCACTTGTTTGGTTAGTAACCCCCCAATATCATATCACATCCTCTTTCCAAATACACGTCCCCTCTACTTCAACCATAGAATCTAATTGTTGCTCTTCTTATATTCTTGGGCTCAGGTCCTCCACTAGAGTATAGACACCTTGACAAGGACCTGTCACCTAAGAAAAGTACACTTTCTCAAGTCCAGGACCATTTAGCTTACAAAGTATTTCAGTTGCAGGTGATATTTTTATTAATAATTTAGTAAACTATTAATAATAATATTATTATTGGTTCTTTCTTTTTATTTTTATCAATTTTCCTCTTATGACCTTCATAAATTACACTGGCTATTTTATATGGGACCATAAAAAAGATTTCTGATTGAGAAAGATGTTTCAACATTTCAAATAATACAATAGGTATTAGTTCTTTAGGATTACAAGACTTAGAATATTTTCACTGCTCAGAATCCACTACCCAAGACAAATAGTCATGGAAACATTAGAATGTTTAGAGTTACTGTACTAAGCAACCACTGTCATTTGTCCATTCTGGAAAATAATTTGAAGAGTCTTAAGACTTCTTGGATGTCTGTGTGGTCTAAACAGCTCATGGTCTTCAGGAAGAACTTCAACACCATTGGATGTTCCCCAAACCTGCTCATCTCAATCCATATTGCCCTTGATATACAGTCATCTTTGTCTTTTTAATGCTACCTCTCATGCTCTGTGTTCTGTATCTTGAGGTAAGTCATTCTGAAGGTCCCTTTGAAAAGGAACAAATCCCAGAATTGAATCATGTGATGTGAATCATTACATCTTCCTTTCTATGTATCAGTCATATTATTGAGCATGGACCAGGAAATGAATTGGTTAAATTATGACTCAATAGCTCAAATGATGATGATGCCAAACCATGGGGGTATCCCTCTCTTCCTTCTATAAATAGAATCCATCATCGGACTTTATAAACTATATTATTTTTTTTAAAAAGCATTTCTTCCCAGTATTTTTCATGCATTGTATTTTATCCTATTTTGGTCCCCCTCAATTCCTCCCAGAACTTCTCCACTTTTCTACCTCTTGGTGCTGTACACTTTTACCATGGAAATACATGTAACAGAAAACTGGCTATCTTGAATTTGAAGTATACAGTTCACTGAATTAAGGTGGTTTGTTTATAGACATTTCTGGAACTTTTTTGTCTTTTTCATTTTGATTTATCCTCACCCACTGTCCAGTCCATGGTAACCCCCACTGTACTTTCCACATCTGTAGATTTCACCCTATGGGGTGTCTCATAAGTGGGAAATGATGCCATAATTGTTTCTCTGTGATTTTTCTCTATCCACATACTGTTATGTTCTCAAAGATCTCACATATTAAACAAAGTCAGAATTTCCCCCTTCAGATTTGTATATGTCTTCAGCCATCAAGGAACATGCACATGGATGACACCTTTGCTTACTGAGAAGAGTGCCATGAATGTTGTTGAATGAACATGTATTCAAGATGATTCTTGAATTCTTTTGGGAATAGGCCCTGAAACTAAAATGATAGATCTTATGGCAATTCTCTGTTTTAGCCTATGAGGGATAATTATCTAGTTTTCTACATTGCCTGCTTGCTCCATTGGCAATGCATAAAGATTTTTAACTATCTCACACCTTCACTTGCAGTTCTGTGTTTTTCTTCTTATAAAAAAAGTATTGTGCATAAAATGTTTTATTCAAGCTGAAATAAAAAGGAAAAAGAGGTGAGTATTTTATATTTTTCACAAATTTCTATCAGTCATCACTTTCCCTTTTATAAGACATAGGGATGACCACTGTTGACCACTGCTGTATATATCATACAATCCATGTATTTGTTGGCAAAGTTTCTATGTGAATAAAATTTATCTACTTTTAGCATAGCCAGGGAGCACTGTCTTTGACTGTAAACTATCGGGAGACTGGATAATCCATTATATCTCTATAAAGTATTAAATTCAAGTATATTACTTCACTATTTTGCACTTTGCTCCTAACCTACAAAAGTTTGAGATCATTGCTATGTGCCTGTTATTTCACTTTCATGAGGCTTGAAAGATTTTTACTGAAAAATGTTTTTGCATACAATACATACTGGCAATGGATTCCCTTCCCCCAACTCCTCTCAGATCCTCCCTGACTCTCACTCTCCCCAAATGCACACCCATTCTCTCTCACACTGGAAAGCAAATGGATATCCCAAGATGATTAAAAAAATAACAGAATAGGTAAAATAAACAAAATGCCGGGAGAAAGGGCCAAAGAAGAAAAACAAGAAACAGATGCAGATGGTGCCTGTTCTAAGGAGTAGTTGGTATACCCAGTGAGATTCCTTTGGTGAAAACAAGCTTTTCCTTTGGATTGGAGATAGTGTCTGAGTTAGGTATGGGGGCTTGCAGGACTGGAGGTTTTGTTATTGCGTATATGCTTATAAACATTAATGCAAATCCAGAGAACTGGACTGTGAGGATGGGTCTGTGTTCCAGGGATGGGTGAGGATTTGTTGTATGAGTCACACTCTGCATCACAGTACTTTTGTCTTTTTCTTTTCTTTTTGCAGGTGCTTTACTTTCTCCCATAATTCCCTGTCCAGTTCAACATTTCTTATTACTACTAAGTAACTAAGCCCATCTGAATTCATCTTCAAAATGTATAAATACTGCTACAAAAGGCAGAGGTAAGGGCTAAGGAGAAACCTATACTGTGATCTTCAAACTTTTTCTGAAAAATAAACATGCATCCACCCCACAGAGATCAGACGTGGAATTAACAAAGTCTTCAACAGTCTGAATCTTGATCCACTCTCCCTCAGCGCTCTGCTATAGACAGTGTATTAACCAAGCTGGCTATCAATTCCAAACCCATCATGTTGGTGTAAGTTTTCAAGTAGGACATCTGTGCCTTCACTCAGTTAGAACACAGTGGGTGTGTAAGAGAAAGTATTTCTGGGCAAGAAAATATAGTTTGTAGGTTCCCCGAAGGGTTCTTCATATGCAGTCACTGACACAGTCCACATTTCTACTGATAAAAAGACTCCATCTTTTACCTTTCTGCAAAACAACCAAGCTGAGATCCCTGGGGCATAATTTTCCATCTGATCATTTTCACTTACACCCAAGGATTTGGGTGTAACTGATAAGACATCCTGATAATATGTTTCACAGGATCAAGTAAAATGTCGTTTTACTTCACAGAAAATAGTTGTTCATTCAAAATTTGTCAACATAGTTTGCATATGTTAATGAAGTGACTTTGGTTATTCAAAGATAGAAATTGGAGGAAGTGATAAGGACAAAAAAGTCCACAAAGTCTGCCATGATTTCTGTTTTACATACTCTGTGTGTGTGTATAGGTGTGTTATTGATAGAAATAAGTATCCAATACATACTAGGCAATGAATATATCACCTAACTATATTACCATATTTCATTTTTTTAAATACATCGTCAATGGTAAAGCCATTATGATTTTAATTGTGCTTTTCTCTATTGCTTTCCTTAGCAAAAATCTTATAAATTGTAACAAATATGCAAATAAGAATGTCACTGACTACTGAAGCCAACTGGATAGATAACTGTTCTCCCTGAAGTTACAGTTTTGTGTTCATCTTTCACACTTAAAGATGAATATATCTCTTTACATGTATAAATAAGTCACTTGTATTTCATGGATACAAATGAGTTCAATGGCTCATTTGTGAGAGGTTTGGAGTTCAATTCTCAGCACCAACATAGCAGCTCAAAACCAGTTGTAACTCCAGTGCCAGTTTCTGACACTCTGTTCTGAACTCTTCAGGTATCAGGCCCCCAAATGTACATACATGTATATGCAAGCAAAGCACACCAAAACATAAAATAATAATCTATTTTGCTTTGTTATAGATGTATGTGTAGGGGTTGGGCATGTTGGTACCATGCCCTTGGAGGCCAGAAGAGGGCATCAAATCCCCTGGAGGTGGTTGTGAGTAGCTCAGGGAAGGTGCTAGGAAAGAAACTCTGGTCATTTGCAAGAATAGAAAGTACTCTTATCCACTGAAGGGTCACAACCTTTTTTCTTTTATTATTATCTACAGAATGTGCAGGAGTAATATATAGAAATAGCTTTTCAACGCAACTTTTAGACAGGAGAAACAAAATGGCTCTTTAGGCCTCTAACAATGATTTGTTCTGTGTCTTCTCTTTTCCCTCATGTTCCTGGTTGATTTCACACTTTTCTGACAGCATCTACAACTATGCCGAAGTGAAGGAGTGGATCTTCAGACTGACAAGCCTCCTTTGCAGTTTTTTGGTCTGGTGTTTTGGGATAAGCCTAGCTACCAGTAGACACTGGCGCATTTGGGAATTCAACAGCAAGGCTCTACACCTGTTGTACATTGGACTGTGGGAAGCTTATTATTATCAAGAAGTCAACAAATCAGGTTCAATAACCAGGGTGCCAGTGTACAGTGCTATGAACTCCAACTGGACCATTTCAATAGAACTTGAGTATGCAAGGGGCCTGATATTATTGTCTAATTTTATGCAGCCCGTAGTCCTTACTTTTACCTCAGTGGCCTTTATGGTCTGCTGGATCAGAGCCCCATACCCTGATTTCATGATCCTGTGCTACAAAACATCTGTCTTATTTCTGATCTTCAACATCATTTGCACAGTTCTGGCTGTGAGTTTGAACCACCTGGTGGACATTTATGGTCAAAGCACCCTTGACTTTCCACTAACATTTCCGGTCAGTAAAAAGGATCTGATAAAGAAGCAGCAAACCCATGTGTTCCCACTGGGGATGCTGACGGCTGTGCTTTCAGTCATCAGCATCATTATATTGTTTTATGAGATGTGGTCAATTAAAGCAAAGGCCACAGTGAAGTCAAGAGTTTCCTAAATAGATCACTGTCTGTAGAATTGAGTGAAGGGCTCCTGTATCAGCAACATCTGCCAGGAGTCTCCTTCAAGATACTTTCTGTGTGCACATAATCCTGCTCTGGTCATCTACTAATGTCAAATAAAACGTTAACTGTATTACCCATGTTTGTCACCTGCTTACGACTTGCTCTACTCTACAAATGCACTACCATCTCTTAAGGTCTTCATTTCTGGAAATATAGGCCAGGATTGTACATAGAGATACTTAAAGCAAAGGCAGGATACAAACAAAGGCAGGGAAGAGGTCAAGTTGCATTGATACACATGACCAACTCCAGGCTAAAAGGAGGTTCATAAATAAGCTCACACCTACAAACAGGAAAGCAACTATATCTCCACTGTGGAGTCCTTAGCTTTTATACTGCTTTGGAGGTTGGAGCAAAATCTCTGTTCTTTGGCACCACTGACTGTGTTGGGATTGGAGAGATAGAGTTCACAATGTGCAATGGAGCTAAACGAGGGATATCCATGGGCACTGCCCACTACGGGGCACTAGCACACTTCTATTTCCCTTTTGTGAAGAACCTAACCATGGGCATTCATTGTCACATATATAACCTCTCACAGATAGTGTATCTCCCTTTAAAAGAACAATTGAGTTAGACCCACACTTTCTCCATATGGATGGAAGCTGTGCTATAGTAAGAGGATTCTGACAGAAATTGATAGGAAAATAGAACCACACAAGGTCCTCTTGTTCCACATTCTAAAGAGGTATGCTTTGGCAAATAAATAAATACATAAATACGTAAATAAATAACTCATAATATAAACTGAAGATATGGGTGGAAAGTTTAGTTTCCAGGACTTCCACCTCAGTCATTGTTTGTTCTCAGACATCAGTTAGAAGGCAATTCCGTCTCCAGGGGAAGCCACCTCTCCAAATTTACATGAAATAGCTAAATTTAGACTCTGAAATTTTCAGTGCAATTTTTTTCAGAAGTTTTTACTCCATTAAGGCATAGAGCAGAGGTTCTCAGCCTTGCTAATGTGTTGACCCTTTTAATAGAGTTCCTCATGTTGTGGTAGTCCTCAAGCACAAAATTATTTCATTGCTACTTCTTAACTGTAATTTTGCTACTGTCATGAATCATAATGTAAATACCTGATATGCAACCCCTGTGAAAGGGCATTCAACCCCCCAAGTGGCAGAACCCACAGGTTGAAAACTACTGGAATAGAGGAAGAAGATGTGAAGGAGAGTGTAAAAGTGCTTAAAGGGAAAATGAGATAGAATTCATCCCAGTACTTCATGGAGACCACAGTATCAGAAATAGGGAATGGCAGAGGAGTGACATGCGTTCAAGTTGTTGGAATGCATACCACCATTGCAAGAACTTTATGTGAAATTCCCAAATGAAGCATTGCTAAGATGTTAGACACAATAAACTTTAGCAAGACAAAATGATGGCAGAAGGCGAGGAAGAGAGTTGTGAATTGTTCTCATTACAAAGAGGAAGACGTGAAGTGATATCATGACCCCAAATCTTTTTTCTGAATCCTGCATGGACTTAAGATTTTTAGTAGAAGAAAAATTGGAGGAGATGCCAAGAATTATCCATAGATACAGAGTTCTGATCAAGGTATAGAACATCCCCTATTTTGTAGTGATTTAGGTCCATTTGACCTGAAGAAAATGGAGGTGGGAAACGGGAGGAGGGAGGGGTTTGGGGGAAGAGGAGGAAAGAGAAACTGCATTTAAGATGCAAAATATGAGAGAATACCAAAAAAGAAGCATCAATTTCTAGGTTGAGAATATTTTCAGAGGAGCTGAGTGACCTGAAGGTCATACGAAGAGCTCCAGGGATGCAGTGTTTGTAAGCTGTGACTCGTGCTGAGGTGGGCTTTTTGTTTAATGTGTATTTGTCTGTGTATGTGAGTGGTAACTGAGAGATTTTTAGAGTAAAGTGTACTTGGAGGTCATAAGATGACCAATGAGAGCTGGTTTGCTTTTACGACCATGAGGGTTTTGGGGTAGAATTCCGGTTATGAGGCTTGGCTGGAAGTGTCTGTACAATAGAAACTGACATGGGATGTGTTCTTTGATGATGCAACTGCCCTTGAGCGATTCTATCTATAAGTAACCCCTTACCCATATTCCTTCAAGTAATTACATCAGTTAGGCTTCCTGGATGTTCTGTGTCAGGAATTCTTCAATTAGACATTTTCACTTTTTTATATTTATCATTTTCTTTGACTGGTATGCCTACTTCTCTCATATCTTCAATGCCTAAGATTCTCTCTTCCATTTCCTGTATTTTGTTAGTGATGCTTGAATTTATAGTTTCAGTTTGCTCACCTTGACTTCTCTTTTTCAGTATTCCAATTTGTGCTTCCTTTATTCCTTATATCTTTGTATTCAAGTCTTGAATAGTTTTATCCATTTCTTTTGACTGTTTTTCCTTGGCTTTCTTGAAAGGATTTATTCATTTTCCACAATAGTTGTTTGCCTTTTTCTCAATTTCTAAAAGGGATTTATTTAATAATTTCCTCTTTAGGGATATCTGGCATTTTCATTAGGTTAGATTTAAGGTCTGTGTGTGTGTGTGTGTGTGTGTGTGTGTGTGTGTGTGTGTGTGTGCTTCAGCATGTAGGGATTTTCAGGGATTGCTGTACTAGGACAACTGAGCTCTAGTAGTGATAAATTGCTTTGCCTACCTTTGATTGTGTTCTTATGCTGTCATCTAGGCCTCTGCATTTGTGGTGACTATAGGCTTACTTAACAATTTCTGATTTTGTCAGTTTTGGATGGGTAATTTGTTCCATGGAGTTCTGGCAGACAGCATAGCTTCTGGGCGAGCTGAGAGTCTCTGTCTAATTCAGGAGCTGGGACACAGTGACCAGGAAGGAAGGAGGCCTTGGTAGGGCAGGCACCGTGAGAGTGAGAGGCATCTGTTAGCAGTTGGACTACCTAAACTTCTGGTGAGAATCATTGCCTCTGGCTAAAGAAGGAGTATCTGTCCAAATTGGGATCTGGGACATGGCAAAAAAGAACGATTGTTAATGCAAAGAAATAATGTTGTGTTGTCACCTTCACTTAAATATTTTCCCATATTTTATTTTTGATGTTGAATATGGCATAGGTCTTTTTAATATTAACAACATTTCCTCTCCTCTTTCAAGTTAGTTTAACATAGACTGAACCACAAATAAAATACTGAAATATAAAAAAAAAAAGAATGAGAGGCAGTTGCCAGGTGATGATGGTGCACGCCTTTAATCTCAGCAGTTGGGGGGCAGAGGCAGGTGGATCTCTATGAGTTTGAGGCCAGCCTGATCTACAGAGCGAGTTCTAGGACAAGCTCCAAAGCTACACAGAGAAACTCTGTGAAGGGGGAGGAGAGGTAGAATTGTGTATTGTGTGCAGGAATCTGGAGAGTAGGGGAGATCCATGAGCCATAGATCTACCTGAAGTTCTAGTGGCCACAGTGGCCCATGATCAAGCAGGGGGTCTCCATCTGAACTGGGGGTCAAGACATAGAGATGAAGAAGACTGTGGTTTGGGCTAGGTTAGGCAGGTACCTCAAGATTTGGGGAAGGTGTCTTCAGGTGGGTGACCTACTTGGAGTTCTGGCATCTGGAGTGATCTCTGATCAAGAAGGTGGGCTCCATCCTTGTTGGAGGCTGGGACATAGTGACCCAATTTCCATCTTTAAATTATCCCTATCCAAATACTCTTCTCCCAACTTGCCTTAGTGCACCTACAGCCTTTGTACATTCCTGATTTCTGGGTTTATTCCATGTCATAAATTCACATCTGAATGTTTGTGGCTCAAATCTGCAGATGAGACAGAAACTGTAGGATAACTCACTCTATGGCCTTTTCTAGTTCCAGCCATTTACCAGTAAGTGTCACGCTGTCATTTTTCGTAGCAGTTGAACAACATTCCACTGTGTGTCTGAAGCATATTTTAATTATCCATTAGTCTGTTTAAAGACATTTAGGTCGTTTTCAGTTTCTGGTTCTCATGAATAGAGCTCTCATTCGATCAGTCCCCTTGGATCAGTGGGTGAACGTACCCTTCGCGGTCCTGACTTCCAGTGCTCCAATGTGGGTCTCCGTCTCTATCTCCATCCATCGTCAGATGAAGGCCCCCTCTGATTTTGCTTTCCTTGCTCATGATCTCCCTCCCTCTGCTTCTCATTTGGGCCTAGGGAGTTAAGTTCAGTGTTCCAATATGTGTCTCTGTCTCGATCACCATCCATCGCCATATGAAGGTTCTGTGGTGATATGCAAAATATTCATCAGTATGGTTATGGGCCAAGGCCAGATCAGGCACCCTCTCCTCTGCTTCCCAGAGTACAATCTGGGGACCTCTCCTTGGGCCTGGGAACCCCTCCAGAATCAAGTCTCTTGCATACCCCTAAATGGCTCACTTAGTTGAGATATAAACTTTCCTGCTCCCATAACCATCCTTCCTCCCTCCCCCCTGCCATTTCCCCAATTCATTCCCGATCCTACCCCTCTCCCCTCTCCCTAACCATCTCCCCGTGCTTCCACCCCACCACCCCCGTGCACCCAAGTTTGCCTGGCAATCTTGCCTACTTCTAATATCCAGGAGGATAACTATATGATTTTCTTCAGGTTCACCTTCTTATTCAACTTCTCTAGGATCACAAATTATAGACTCACAGACCTTTAACTATGGCTAGAAACCACTTATGAGTGAGTACATACCATATTCCTCTTTTTGGGTCTGGGTTACGTCCTCAGTAAAGCGTTTCCTATTTCCATCCATTTACATGCAAAATTCAAGATGTCGTTGTTTTTTACCGCTGAGTAAAACTCTAATGTGTATATGTTCCACACCTTTTTTAACCATTCTTCTATTGAGGGGCACCTAGGTTGTTTCCAGGTTCTGGCTATTACGAATAATGCAGCTATGAACATAGTTGAACAAATACTTTTGTAGTATGATAGGGCATCTCTTGGGTATATTCCCAAGAGTGGAAGTGCTGGGTCCTGAGGGAGGTTGACTCCCAGTTTCCTGAGAAACCGCCACACTGATTTCCACAGTGGCTGCACAAGTTTGCATTCCCACCAACAATGGATGA